TCCTAACAACGCAAATTGCGCAGTAAGGAGTGTATTTCAGACTTTTTTAATGTGACCATCGTAATTTTCGTGTCATTTAACCTCTAAAAAGTCTATTCGCGCGGCTGTATCTCTTGCATGCAACAGGCCCATTGCAATCTTGGTGTTTGTGACGCACTTTAAGGATAACTTTCCCATTAACATTCGCCCGCCAAGACCACTTCAGCTTCAATGTCTTGGTATGCAAATACGAGCAACTAATGACTTGTCTCATAATACTAAAATTACATAGGAATATTTAGAGAAGATATTCAATTTCCAAACTGAATATTATACACCGTCCGAAAACTTCACACAAAGTAAACTCTATAAGGTAAACTCGTCTTTGTCAACTGATGATCATACAACTGGAGCCTTTCTAACAAAGTTTGAAGTTGGATGGTTAGTTTGTTTTACAGCTTCTATGTTGCATCTCCTCATGATCAGAAATATTTGAATTTTTATCATGGTTTGAAAACCCTGTTGTAAAATTCGATTTGAGGAGTGTAGCCTGGTCACAGTTGCAATAGGGTGTTCACATTAAGTATCTTTCGATTCCTTTAATATCAACGTATGATTCAAAATTAATAATATCTGCCGATATTATCGTGAGGTTATCAAGATGTTTCCAACATTTTCCAGGAAGCAATCCTTTACGAACAAATGTTCAAAAATTGTATTCCGTATAACTCACCGAAAAGGTATGAATTAAAGCACTACTTAACATCGAAAAACTTATCGGGGACTACACAAGTTAGATATTGAAACAATGTGATAAAATAATTCTACAAAAAAGGCCAACATGTTTAATTAGAATCTAAAATTTTAAGCTCTAATGAGTTCCAGTACTACAAGACTGCGGGGAGAGGGTTCAGCTCATATAAATGCATTGAAATATTAAATTGAGCTCACGTCGAGAGATATATAACGTTTTGGGTCTTTTTAGACCTGATCAGTAGATCACATTCGTCAGTAAGCCCAGCTTAACAACCCGTTGAATCCAAGACGGCATCGAAACGCCGTCATGAATATGACCGAACGTGAGGTTTTTTCCTGTTAAATGATAAAATGAACAAAATTTTTCGCCTCCTCACTTGCACATCGGTTTTTTATAGAGGGGCGGGTTTCAGAGTTACGACTCCATCATTAACCGGAATTGCGCTGCCGGCTGATGATGGAGTTGTAACTCCAAAACGCGTTCATCAATAAAAAAAAAAACCAATGTGCAGGTGAGGACGTAAAAAATGGTATTCATTTTAATTACAATCCATGTTTCCACTTCAATATTTTACGTAAAAAGCGATTCACGCACCAGGAAATCCTAAAATTGACTCCTATATGTGAGACAAAGATCAAGTGGAACACAATTCACAAAACTGATATCTTTTTTGTTTTTTTTTTCTTTCAAATGATATTGACGTTTCATACTTAAAATTCCTCTAGAATTCATCATTTTCAAACTCCCATTTTTGAGAATGATTCTCTGCACTTTTGAAGAGATAAAATGTAATGAAAAGCTTCAGTTCGTACCTCATCTGTTGCTCTATTCGAGAACTTCTCGCAATTGCTTATTTGGGGAATGTCGCAGTTATTACAGGGTTTGCTCCCTGAGTGTCTGTCGATTATTTACTCGGACGCAGTGGACTGGACCGGAACGCTGCCGCGCGGAGGTAAAACGTCATATAAACATCCAAACGTTGCCAGATGTCTTTGCCAAAAACCTATTTTTTCCCCAATATTTTATAATTTCCCCCTCACAGATTTCATTGCATTGTCATCTACCTTGTCCCGAAACGTCAGGGTCCGTTCAAGTATTACGTAACGCACATTTTCCGATTTTTCACCCTCCTCTCCCCCTTGTAACGCACCCGTAACGCAGTCCTACGCTCTTTTTTGAATTACGTAACGCTGACCTGACACCCCCCCCCC